ATATATATATATAACATTGTTACATATATATATATATGTTTTGTTATATATATATATATTGTTATATATATATATATATATAACAATGAGATATTTCATCAGTAACTGTAAAAAAATCAATCATTTGTGTAAAATCTCGAATTTTATAACGGTCTCATTTTGCCCCCGTGTCCCCTACTTATTCGTTTTTAGACATATATAATCGATCTTCAATGTATGAGAAATCTCATTTCAATAGCCCGCGACCTTTGAAACTCATAGTAATCTCCTCTTAATTGGTTTCTTCCATTTTCTGCACTTGATCTAAGATTAGGCGATTTAAGCACAGTTCCTCGAGCATTATTGTGGTATTTCATGTATAGGCGCGGCTATAACGCGGATGTTAGCGCATGTGGTGACCGAAGAGGCATTCCGCGATGGTGTGAGGAAATATCTTGAGAAAAAGTAAAGAAACATACCATTAATAATGAACAGAAATAGAATCAAAGCTCACTGAGTACGTCAATTTCCAGTAAATTTCGTTCAGTGGTAACGGACGACCTATGGGAAAGTCTGCAAGAGAGCTACAATGAGAAACAAATAGTACCTCATTTAAATATTAAAGAAATAATGGATCCATGGTTGGAACAACCGGGATATCCACTGCTGAACGTCACACGAGATTATGATATAGGAGTTATAACTATTATACAAAGCGATGGATCAGATTCAGGATCGAACAATCTCTGGACGATTCCACTTAATTATGCAACAACTTCACGGCCCGATTTTTCATCGACTCGCCCAACTCACTTCATGCGAGATGAGAATTTCATTCTGGATGGAATCGATAGAAATGATTGGATAATTTTGAATATTCAGAAAACGGGTATGAACGATTGATCAATTATCTAATTATATTTGAGGTTTATAAAGGAAACCGATTTTCCGTGCATCAATGTTCCTGTGATCGACCTTTATATTACTCCGTGCAATAGGTCTAGTTTATCGGACGCTGTACTCCCCGCAGCATGTTTCAAACTCAAATTCTGCGTGAAATAATATAAAAAATTATGGACGAATTTCGTTTTCAAGGAATGTGAGTACACTACAAAAACCAGGTATCTGACAGCTATCTGAATTTAAGATGTCAGATGGTAAAAAACGTCTGAGTCTTTAAAAATGTCTGAAAGCCTGACTAATGTCTGAAAATTTCAACTACCATTTCTGTCTGAAAATGATGGTCGACATTATTTGTGTCTGAAAAATTTCAAGTATTGATTTTCAGATATTTTCTGTGTCTGAAATTCAGTTATTTATGAGCCATTCAAACATTTCACTATTAAGATATCTTACCTGATTCAGACAGCGAAGTCGATTCAAACATTAATTTTTAAGATATTTCTCATCTCTGAAAAGTTGACTCATCCACTGTAAAAACTAGGTATTGGACAACCATCTGAATTTGAGAGGGCAGATGGCAAAAAACGTCTGAATCTTTAAAAGTGTCTGAAAATCTAACTGTCTGAAAATTTCAAACACCGCTTTTGTCTGAAACTAACGTCTGTATCTCAATTTCAGACATCTTGGTGTCTGAAATTGAAATATCTCCATTGATTCAGACACATTTTAATGTCTAAAAAGTGTCTACACAGTCGCCCCAAAAGTGTTTGAAATTCAGACATTAGTTTTCGCAGTGTACTCGCCTGCGACTCGGCCTGTAGTTGGTTCCATGGCCGGAATCCAACCACCAACTCAACGTTTCCACTTCCACATAACACGACATTTGGGGGCACCCAGAAATAAAATCTATTTATTGTGAAAATTTGACACTGACGATAATTTCAATATTGAGCTTAGAATTTGGATTTTTCATTTCTGATTTTTCAAGGGTTTTCCTTGATTTTAATTTTTTTGCTAACCTTGAAAAGTTCATTTTCCTATAAGACTCTGTGTTATTTTGGCAGTTATAAATTAATTAATATTAATAATAGTATACTATCCATTGAGCACGAATACTGTGTAGAATTTATTTAAGATACTATTTGAGATTTATTTGAAAACTCATGTGATACAGTCTATAAATAATTTCAATTTCTAGGTTTGTATCATGTCCATTACGACTTGGAGAATTGGAAACGTCTTGCTGTATATTTAAACACGGAAAATTATCACAAAATTCACGAAATTAATCGTATCTTTAACCGCGGCAGGAGAACATGATTATGATTTATTGATGGATATGATTGCATACTTGTACCGAGAAACGAATCCATTGCCGTGGATAGTTATGGAAAAACTCCTGAAAACATTTTCAGAGTGCTCATTGAGGATCTTCACATTTAACACTTTTAAAAGATATGCACTACATTTAATGGATAACATGATAAAGGAAATTGGCTTTAAAGATCGTTCACAAGTCAATGATAACCTAGTACAGCTGGCAAGAATTGGACTTCTGCCATGGGCCTGTGAGCTTGGCCATAAAGAGTGCAAAGCCATAGCTCCGATAAAATTGATGGAAATTCTGAATAGTAAAACGAACAAGTCGTAAGTAATTCGCAACAATATCGAATAATTATCTGAACTATAAGAATAAAACTGATGTGCCGATATCACGTACCCCCGTATACTCTGCACTCTGATTGGTCAAAATAAAAACGGAGGACATAATGACTCGAATTTGAAAATTTGTGTTTTTTTTCCCCTCCGTAGACCGAATTCAATTCGCTCTCCTGAGAATTAGAATTAGATTGTCCACAAAATTGCAATTTTTATTAACAGGTTGCTATTTTCCGATTGGCTGCAATTTTTTCCCTTATAGTAAAATGATCCCTTCTAATTCGAGAAATTTTATTGGATTGAAACGTAACTTTAACCGAAGTGTTCGTGGATCGAGCTAATTGGTGACACTGTTACAGAAAAATTGTAATTTCCTAGATATTTTAGTCCTAATTTTGAGGAGAGTAACGGTCAATTCGATTTAGGAAGGAAAAAAATCATGAAACTCTACTAAAACGTAGCCATGGCTCGGCCTTCCATGCCATGCTAGACGCAATGGCTATGTTTGTTTTAAAAGTCGTGGGCCTTTTTCTATTTCAATTCTATTTGACTTTCTTTAATGCCTAAAGGTGGTTAGGCGGCGTGCTGAGTTGAATTTGGTCTGCGTTGGGCTTTTTTATTGGATCGCTTCGCGTGCCTAAAACGTTCCTTTTCAAGACATTGTGATGAAAAATATCGTTCAATACTCATGGGAAAACACTTTTCCTCACTCGTAACGAAATATACTATTTTGTCACAGCTGCTACGTTTAGCCCCTGTCGAAAAGTGCCTTTTCGTTTACTAGTAAACGAAAAGTCTTTTCGTTTACAAGTTTCGACTTTCGTTTACTAGTAAACGAAAAATGGTACAGTTCGGCACTCGCTTAACGTAACATCAATAACAAAATAGTATATTTCGTAACGAGTGCAAAAAAGTGTTTTTTGCCGAGTGGGAGGTTTATATCACGAGCCGAAGGCGAGTGATATAATCCCACGAGTTAAAAAACATTTTTTCACGAGTTACGAACAATATTTTTCATCACAATGTGGCGGAAATTGGACTTTTAGGCACGCGGAGCGTGCCGAAAAGTTCACTTTTCGTCACAGCGTGATGAAAAATATATTTCGGATACACGTGCGACGGGGTGTTTTAACTCGTGTGATTGGCAGCCCTCGGCTTCGCCAACTTCACACTCGTTACCACCCCGTCGCACGTGTATCGAAATATACTATTACTCCTCCAGTCCAATAATTTTGATCTAAACGAAAATTCTGGAACGGTTGGTAAGTTTTACCTTACCGGTACAGTAATTTTTACTCTACCGGCAAGGTAATTTTTATTTTTATCAGGATAAAATTTCTCCAACGTAGAATAAAATTTGATCATCATATATTAATTTTTAGTACATTTCGGGATAAAAATGAAGAACCGATGACTCATGATACACTTTTATAGAACGGTAGGATAATTTTTATCAAAAATTTCTCTCCGTGTAGTTAAAAAATCTCGCTTGGTTCGGCTAAACCGTTCTATCAGTGTACCTAGATGTTCAGTACCAATTAGCGCCAAATTTTCAGTTAATTGGAGATTCAATATTTTATGTAACTATTTTTTTTTCATTTTTGTTCATTTCTATGAAATAATATAAACTGAAACTTACAGTTTCCACTGATTATTTCCGTAAATTATGAGTTCTCAGTTACGAATTTTTATGCAAATTCAGTGGAACGGCCATACGTAATTAAAAATTTTTGTATATTTTCTTGTGGGTCTCTTCATCTATGATGCTGCGTTCAGCAAGTTCGTGTTATCTGATAATTTACAGAAATGTTCTGCAAAGTTGTTCAACACACGAGATGAATGTACAAACTATGATGAAAAATAGTTTTCAATAGTTCACTATTGAAACGTTGAAATGCTAAATTCCTCAGTATTATTTTTTTCAATCGATTCCTCAGTATTATTCTCGTAAAATTTTTAAGTAATCCTTCCTTCAATTTTTCGGCTTCATCTTGGATCTATGTAAATATAGAAAGACAGGCACGAAACGTATAAAAATTTAGTTTTTACTTTTTATGAACCAGTTTTCATGAAATTAGCATCCCCCACAATTACATGTGAAAACGGCATATTGAAATTATGTGCATGGTCCTTTTTTCCATTTTTTTTCGTCTCCATGTACATCTTGCCTCAGACTCATAGCTGATCACCGCGACTGGATTTATCGTACCGCTCTGACTGACGCAAATGAATCACTCTGGGATCAAGTGATGGAAAGTCATTGGAAACACCCACGTGAGCATAATGTATTCAAATACTTGGGATATTCAAATAATCATACTTTGTTGGAGAAATATTTACCACTAGCGATGGCAAAAAATGCCACTTTACTATCTACTGATCTGTATGATGCATTGATATCCATGGCTATGGGACCAAGGAAAAATTATAATTTCGGTCTCAATTTCTTTATTAATAACGTCGATATGATACGGCAATAGTGAGTATTCGTGACAGAGAGGAAATTGTCATATACAATCAATACAATTTAAACACTTCATAATACAATTTTGATAATTTAGTTTGAAGGAAAGAAATTACAAAGGAATATTTAAGCATCTTTGCCATACATTCTCCAGACAGGTTAAAACTCAGCGTCAGAAACTGAAGGTAAAAATTATCGTAACAGTAAGAATTTTTCCATGTCCATTCTATATCCATTTTTTATTTTCCTATGTCCAATTTAACACGGAGATTTTTTCTGTGGCCATTTTTCTAGGTAACGAATTTTCTTCATAAACTACTAGACGACGGAAAACTTCGCAAAATTGCACCTTTTCTCGAAAGCGCTGAGAAATCCATGATTTGTATGGAGAAATCATCCCAAGTATTTCATGAGATTCTAGCGAAAAATTCGCATTTTATCAATTTTATACGAAATGAAAATTCGAACAATTTATGAGAAAGAAAAATTTGGAGTCCGCATTTATTTAATATTTTAGTACTTAAAATTCAAAAGATTGGAAAATTCAACTTGAAAATGTAAATTTATTAGTTTCGAAGCCAATAATCATAAACCGAAAATCGCTCGTGCTTAAATTTCTCAGAAGTTTGAACATTTGCTTAACAAATAAATGCTTTTCAAAAATTGGCTAGTTTTATAGCTCTTTTTAAATTGTAATTCCCAGGAAAGAAAAGGACCCAGATACATGTACTGACATTCACTACGTATTTGATCGTCAACCATTTTAATCATTCAAGTCTTCAATCCTCAAACTATCCAATCGTTTTACAGCTTCACTCAACAGTTCAGAAATCCGAAACATCTCGATTATTTTTATTATGGTCGTTTATGAGACGTAAAAGACCCAAAACAAAGGTCATTGAAGACTTGAAGCTGGAAAATCGATGCATACTCATCCTTTTACCTGAATTATCCCTCGAGTTTACGCGGATCCTTCGAACACTGCAACAGGTGCCACCCACTTTTTCTACCAATTTCCAATTTGTCCAATCCTATCAATTGTTACGAAAATGAAAAATTCATCCAATCACTAAAGATCCTAATTATCCCCTCCATTCTGGAAGTCAGACGTTGAAATTTATTCACACGTTTCATCAATTCCAATTTAGCTCTCGAGTAAGTAACCAACTAAAATTATTTCAGCAATTATGTACAGTGTCTAGTAAATGTAAAATATATAAGTGCTAACCTGGAATCCAAGTATTTTAGAAAACCTTTTTGAACACCCATTCCGGCATTAATAATCTCTAAACGTTAATTATGTCTTCAAAAATTCATTAGAAACAAAGACAATTCAAACACTTTAACTTCGCCAGTCAACGAATACATTCATTAGTTTTCTAAAGAAATAAAGAAATACAAAACTAGTTGAATACGGATATTTTCAAAAGGTGAACTGAAGGTATTTCTTTGACTTTCAAGAGGCATAAAAATGCATCTACAAAGTGCATACCATTGAATTGATACGGTCGGTTAGAACCGCCGAATTCGACATCCCGTCCAGTTGATTGTGATCTCAATGAAATTTCACTGAATAAAAATTAACAATTCCACGCGCTAAGCTTGAAACGCTGTTAGTGTAAAAAGATCGAACGCCACTAGATCCGAACACTGACTGACGGAGTCAACTCCTATACTCCATAGTGAGAGTTCTTTCGCAAATACGATAATTATGGTCCCACGATTTGACGCTTTAATATACTAATAATAGGCGACACCGCTTTTGCATCAACTCATCTGATTTCTGAGAACGGAAATGGAGAAATAGCATTTCTCACGGTCATGAACGGTAGTTCGGTCACTGATACAACTATTCTGCAGCATCAAATGAGGCTAATGCTAATCCTATGGGAGAAAATGAATAGAATGTTAAACACAGTTCTGAAATCAATTGAATAATAGAGGAATAAAAAACTGGGTAATTTTTTCAATGTATAATATGAAATCAGTAGTGAAGTGGTAAACGGAGATAAGTCGACTTATCTCCCAGTTGAGTTTTTGAGGAATATTTCCGAATCTAAACGAGATAGCGAAATTTTCGCTACAACAACGCTTCGAACTACATTTGTTGTATCACTCAATCGGCTCCATAAAAAAGGTTATAACAAAAATTTTTCCATCTTCTTTAGATTCCGAGATATTGATTGAGAACTGGTCAATAATCAAAATTGACTTATCTCCTTTTGCCACTTCACTACTGAAATGTAAAATACTGAATAAGAATTGTTGTAACCTAAGAAAACCATGTTTTCATATTTCAAAATTTTTCCCAATACGTAACTTGTAACCATGACCGTTCATAAAAAGTCAGGGTTACAATAGCGTTGATTCCGCTACCATTAATAATTCACACAGTAAATTTGAATTTTTCACTGTTATTGCCACTGCGAATGAATAATTGATTTTCTGAAATCGTATCATGAGTCGCGCATTAACGAAGGAAAGATGGTTTCAAATAGGAAGTACATAGTAAGCCAACTAATTATCAAAAATAACTTAATAACCAAAGCCCCCAAAAACTACCAACTTTATCCTCGCAGACCGGAAACGGAAGTCAACTAATTATTCATCTATGATATTGGAGTCGATTGTAGTGAGTATAAAAAGTGAGTACATAATTCGGTATCCGTCGGATTTCATCATACACGATGAGCTTGTTGATATTCACATCAGTCACAGTAGGTCAATGAATGAGTCTTCCAGATTTTAAACTTCAGTCTCTATTCTACTTTCGTAGCTTGAGTACCTTCTGCACAGTGTTCCTGATTATCTGTCAACTCGTCTCAAATATAACATAAAATTTGGGAGCGAGAATGATGGGAATCGAATTTGCCAGTTTGCTAGTGCTTATCACTGCTGCAATATCGCAGTCATCCTCATTGTATACTCCCACAAAATATGAGGATGAATTGATAGCGAAAGTTGTTGGCTACCGGTTACCGAACAATACAGTACCAAGGTTATACACGCTGAATCTGGAACCTCATATTGACGACGAAGAATTCACTTTCGATGGTACCAGCAGCACTGTCTTTGAAGTGCTTGATCCAACATGGAGTGTAACTTTACATGCATCGACATTGATTGAAATCGATAAAACGTACACGACCCTTATCCACAGTGATGGTACAATTGAGAAACCGATTTCTCAAAGGTACAACGAAAATCTTCAATTCTTCAACCTGCGATTCAGTCATTTATTGGAGCTTGGTAATTACACGGTGAAAATGAAATGGAAGGGACACAATTCTGCATCTTTGCGAGGATTCTACCGAGCTGAGGATGTGAATACGTATGGAGATACTCTGTAAGTACTTCAGGATTCACATAATACAGCGAAGTAGTAAAATCCAATGAGATAACTTTCCTTCAACATGTATGAAAACATTTATTAGCTTTGAATTTCTATGAGGACTATGAAAATTCGTTTAAAAATTTAATTCCTTGTTTGCTGAGAATTTTCAGTTTTCACGCCTCATTTCATGATGGATATTCGATAGGAAAATATTCACTTTCCTATTGCTTTATCGTTCGTTCTCTTTAGATATTTTCGATAAAAAATCTTAAGCATAATTTTTTCAAGTTCTTTCCGCCGTATTTTCGTTTCTCATTACAAAATAAAGATGAAATACAAATCTTTTTTCAGAAATTCGAATATAAAAATCCGTAACTTGATTAGTTGCATCGAAAAATCAACGTTCAATTCTGCTCTAACCGATATTTATTGAACATCGTACGAAAAAATTACATAATTTTCAAGAGGATTCTTATTCAAAGCCAATAGAATTTCCCAGAGAATTACTTGAGTTTTTTATTGAATTTTTGCGTACATGACGATCAGTTTTCGATGAATATGCTTAGATCAATAAAGAATGGAAGCAATAATAAGGTGTGATCAACTCATGTTGTGATGTCATTCCATTTTCCACTCAATCATAAATGATCAATTTCAGATACATGGTAGCAACTCATTTCGAACCCCTAGCAGCCCGAGCTGCATTTCCCTGCTGGGATGAGCCAGCACTGAAAGCTGAATTTGAAATATCCTTGAAACATTACAACAATTATACAGCACTATCAAATATGCCTATAAAAGGACAAACGTCAACTGATGATGGGAAGATTTGGACGAGCTTTCAGAGATCTCCAGTCATGTCTACTTACCTGGCAACATTTGTAGTAGCCCCTTACACTAATCTTGCCAATGATCATGGAAATATGACATTCTGGGTTCCGTCAGATAAACTGGCATCTGCTACAGTTGGTTTCGAACTTAGTCCGATGATTGTCAGCGCGTTAGAAAATTATACCGGATTTCTTTATTCTTTACCTAAATTGGACGCTGTTTACGTTCCTCAGTACTCCTCTGCAGCTACTGAACACTGGGGTCTCATCGCCTATTCGTAAGTCTTATCTAACTACCTTTCCGTTATTTGATTACGAAAGGTAATCTCTAAGGATAATCTGGATAATCTCTGGGGTGATGACCAACATTAATGCCTTCCTCATCTTCATACAGGAAGTTTATTTTAGTCGATCCTGATGTTGGCACTCATCAGGAGCTGAAACGTGCCATATTATTAGCAGCCCATGAAATTACTCACCAGTGGCTAGGGAATTTAGTTACCCCTGCATGGTGGGGTGATCTTTGGTTGAGTGAAGCTTTTGCTGTATTCTTGGGAACCAAAATAGTGGATAATGTAATTACCGGTATTATCTTTCTGCATCCTCACTAACCCCTCAGAAGCAGGGTTTATATTATACCATGGCGACCCATGCCTAAATGAATGGTTCTTTTCAAAATTGAATATTTTAGTATCTATGGAATATAGAGCCACCATACGAGATCCATGAGATCGAAGAATAGTGTAGCTTTAGATACACCCAATGAAAATCTTCTGATGTAAATCAAACCCCCCGACTTGACATAAATATAATCCAATTGGTGCGATAATCTGCTTATTTCTAGTGATTTTTGTTGACTTGAATTGAGTATCTCCGAAAAATGGCAAGTCAAGTTGGTGGCTTGGGAAGAGGGGTTGAGTGAACCGATATTGAAGGGGGAATAAATAGATTCTATTTCAGGTAATCCCTCGATTTCACGCTATGGACCTCTTTGCTGTTGAAACAGTTAATGATGTATCATTCACGGCAGAACGATTTTACGCCAAACCACATCCGATTAGATGGGTACCCAATTCTGAGCAGGAAGTTTTTGAGATGTTCTCTCCAGTGACTTATCGGAAAGGTAAATTTTTCAATAGCTGTTAGGTTTAAATGCTTCTACTGGTTAACCAATTTGCGATATATCATGTTCAGGAGCCGCTGTAGTGCGGATGTTGGAGCACATAATAACCGAAGAAGCATTATGTCTTGGCATCCAAAAATACGTAGATAAACAGTAATGAAAAAACATCATTAATCATGAATGAAAGTAATGCAAAGCTTATAGAAAATATAAATTTTCAGCCAATTTGGTTCGGTAGAAACAAACGATCTATGGCGAAGTCTTCAAGAAGGCTACAATGAGATGAAAGTACCACCTCACTTGAATATAAAAGAAATAATGAATCCTTGGGTGGAACAAACAGGATATCCACTGCTGAAGGTCACGCGGGATTACAAAACAGGAATTATTAGTATCACACAATGTGACGCCAACAACCCAGAATCAGGGAATCTTTGGACGATTCCCATAAACTATGCAACAACTTCACGACCGAATTTTTCATCCACTCGACCAATGCACTTTATGCGACGTGCGAATCATAGTCTCGTACTTGATCGAATCGATAGAAATGATGGGATAATTCTGAATATTCAACAGACTGGTATGATGTTTTGCTATAGTAATTATATCTGTTTACTAACAACGATAGTGAGTATATTTCACAAGAGCCTAATCGGTGTTCTTCGCATCAATTTAGATGATCGAATAGTTGTTTTTATCCTTGCAAATTCCCTGGTAGGAGATGAGCAAAGGCCGAATATGGCCTGCAGCAGGTCATCCTCGGCCTACCGTCTGCGTCTTCTCATCTCCTACCAGGGTTGTTCGTTTCTCTAGGAATAAGCGACGTTTTCTTTTATCTAGATGTACAATATTTGAAAACAAATCAGACAAGTCATTTTCGAGGGATGGATATTTTTTCGATCGTATTCACGATAGATAAGGATCTACTCGATATTGCAATATTGAATACCGAACGATGTCAATTAAAGTCAGATCATTTCCGGAAAAGGATAAACAAAAAAGTGTTGTTTTTAATAATCCAATTGTTGCAAATATGTGGACATCCGCATGAAAAGGAACCACTTTGTCGATATGGTGTTATGTATATTCTGATAATATTGATAACCTTCCGCAAATTTTGAGCCCAAAATGATCTCCATGAGGTCAAAAATGACGTCGTTGGAGAGGATGGAAAAAGCAATTTAACATTGGTACAAATTGGAGTTGCTGACACAAAAACGTGAATATCTCGGAAACTAGAATCGACAAAGTGGTCCCTTTTCATGTGGACGTCCACATATATTGAAAATTAGACGCATTTCCAGTGCAATATTCTCGGGTTTGTATTCTGAAATTACGGACGCCAACTGAATATGAAGATCAAACGCTGTGAAACAGCGGTGGAAGATGTACAGTCATTTACTAAAGTTCTGAAACAAAATACATAGGATGCAAGTTCAAATCGTTTCAGAACTTTAGTAAATGATTGTATACATGACGAACGGCTAGAAACTGGTCAAAAAATTGTTATTAATTTCTGTTCACCCTTTAGAGTTTTGACTTCACACGTTTATTCATTCTGAACATTCCCGGAATGGATGGCTATCTAGCTAGATAAATATTGAAGTCGTGTGACACGCAAGTATGGAAAAATTGAATGGAAAAATCTCGCATTTTTGCCGGGAAATCCCATTGAATATCTCTTTAAACTTTATAAGAATTCTAGTTCGGCTAATTTGGAAATTCTATTCATTTGTTACCGATTTCTATTATCAATTTCGCAGTATATACTCGTCTTCTTCAACAGATATTTATTCCTAAAAAAAGTATAGTAAATGTCCCGGTACCTGACTCAGTCCCAATAGCTGAATCGCCGAGTATCCGATTGCCAATTTCTTTCGATAAGTAATTATTTCTTCTCAAAAATAATGATATTCCATTTTTCTAAAGAAGCGTAGGGTTTCAATGATTCTAACGAAATAAATTCCATGCGGTTGGTATTCCCAAAAAAATTTCTATTTAACAATTAAAGTTGATACTCGGTTGAATTGCTCCCTTCGGTCCAATTCCTAGTGTCAACTGCTAAGAGGTGACTCATCAAATGATAATGATTCATTCAGTCATGCAAGTATTGAAAAAATAGTTAAACAATTCATCAAGCAGACACTGACTTAAACTTTCGTAAAAGTAGTAAAAATTTCGAGAGAAACAATTTTTTATGCCAATAAATAGCTATTCAGGTATTGGGCCATCAGGCCGAACCTATGTCCGAGTAGCTGACTTCGTTGTTTCACTATTAAGTTTCGTATTGTTACACGTGTGAGATATTGTCATAAGTGAAACTATCGAAACTCCTTCAGTGCACGTGAATAAAATAATCAGAAATGTTTTTTTTCAAACAAAATTTTTCCTCTAGAGAGAAATTTTAGAGTCTGCACACCTACCGATTGGAATCTGAAGAGTGTTATTTTATTGAGAAAACTTACTGAATGTTTCTTCTATTTGCATAACGTCATGATGATGATCCATATGTCATAATATTCGTACCAATCTATTATTTAATGAACGATATTTATTATTAAGTGTAGATTTCCGTGGCAATAACTTGTGATTCAACTACTGGGACATGGGGATTCAGGTATTAGGACATGGAAGTTTTTTGGATTCAACTACTAGGACATAGCTCTTACATAATAAATTCGTTTAGTTTGATGTTTGTTTAATATTTTTATAGCTAAAAATAATTGTTGTAATCGGTCAAATAAAGTGGGATAATTCTCTAGAATAATTCCTCTATGACCAATATAACCGAATTCATTTTTATACACGTTCTTTTATCGACTCTTTCTTAAAGAGTTAGCTACCGGGACATTCACCTTAATAGATTTTTATTTTTCTACATGAATTATTCCCTTGACATTTTTCCTGCCAAAAACCTTCGGCAGAAATTTACCAAGAATTTTTCGCTCTATCTTGTTTGATTTTCATTACTAAATCCAAAAAAGAAAACTTGAAGCATCGATATCTGTAGAAATCGACAGAAAATGAATAGAAACGCATAGAAAACACCGTTCTAATCATTTCATCTTTATTTTTGATTCGTTGAAATCGACGGTATGTCTGTTATGGCTGGTGGGTATTCAGGAGAGGAACAAATAAAAATTTTGACAGCATTCCACTGGAGTTGCAATAGATAAAGCATAGAGTTCTAATACAAAATCAATAGAGTTCCAGAAGAATTATCGTAGGAAGCCAATTTAATATTGAAAATGTCGGTTCAACTCTTTCATCCATGCAAAAGTAATGAAAATAACTCGTACATTACCGATCTTATCTATATTTTTAGGATTCTATCGTGTTGATTACGACTGGGAAAATTGGAAACGTATCAGTGCATACTTAAACTCGGAAAATTATCACAAAATCCACGTACTGAATCGTGCACAATTGCTCCACGACGTCGTATATTTTTCTGAAAGAGACGAACGCTATTATGAGTTATTGATGGATATGGCTATGTACTTACGTAGAGAAACAAATTTTCTACCTTGGACAGCTATTGAGGAAGTCATATACCAATTAGCATTGCCTTTCATGAATACGGCCACCTTCGACTTCTTCAGACATTTTGTCTTACGTATTATGAACAACATAATAGATGAGATTGGATTCGAAGATCGTGTATTTGACAATGATAACTTGGTTTATTTGGCTAGGGCTCGACTTTTGCCCTTGGCATGTAATTTCGGCCACGAGGGATGCAGAGCCATAGCCCCTATAAAATTGATAGAGATGTTAAATGGCAAAATGAAGAAATCGTAAGTTGTTTAGAGTCTTCTAGAGAACATGATTATAATCGTAACTCGGTATTAAATGTCTAGATTTCGTGCTCAGCATAAAGGATGGATATACTGTTCTGCTCTAGCTGATGCCAATGAAACACTGTGGGATCTGGTGATGAGTGCTCATTGGGCAAATCCTCTTGAACACCATGCATTCGAAGCTCTGGGATGTACGAAGAATCATCGTTTGATTAAAAAATATCTTGCCTTAGCTTTCGCTGAAAATGCTACGCTATTGACTCATGATGTGTATGATGCATTGCACTCAATGATTACGGGGCCTGCACAAAACTACGATTTTGCTCTTGATTATTTCATTGAGAATATTGATGAAATACGTCAATAGTGAGTATTTATAATACACGATTTTTTTATCGTTATTTTATATCGCGTCGACCCGATTGGGGTGTACTGCGATGATGATCAAGACTTTAAATGGTGAGATCTCACCATTCTACCCGACCGGTTTTGGAACTCAGAACATTCCGCATGTGAGGCACTGAACTTACCCACTGCGCCAAGCCACCGGGCTACACAATACGCGATTGATTGTCATATGGTTGAAGTTTTGTAATGTTACTTGGATATTTCAGTCTGAACGTGAGAAATTCGACACAAGAAATTTGGTATCTTTATCAGGAGTTTGCTCGGCTTACCAAAACGCTGAATCAATTTGAAAAGGTAATAATGAAATTCGAAAAAATTTACCTTTTTATTCAAGTTCTTTGTTTGAAGAAGGAAATTTCCCCTCGTGTTATAAATAATTTTTTCAGTTGACAAAATTCCTCAATAAAGAAACTGAAGAAGGAAAGATCAACAACATCAGAGAACTTATCAACAGCGCAAGGGATTCCATGAGGCGTTCGGAAAAAATATCTGCAGTGTTTAGTTCCATTATAAAAAAGAAACCATACCTTGTGAATTTCGTACAAAATTGAGATCCGGAGGAGAATCAATGCACATCACATTATTATCAAGGTCAAGAATTCGACTCCATGAACTCCATGAAAATAATTATTTTAACCCTCGAGTGGTGGCAGCTTGCGTATGATTTAGCGGGGATTCCCCCGCTTAAGGGTAGACGATACAATGCATTAAACACCGAAAGAGTTAAACTCACTGAGTGTATCCAAAATAATATTCAGAATGTGTATCAATCAATTCCATGATCGGTCAACAAGTTCTGTCTCCTAACGGGAAATCGCATGCGAAAGCAATCCTTTATAATTTGTTCGATGTTTTCTTTGTAATTGAAAAATAGAGTTGTTAACTCCCTGAAGATATCTTGTACAAGACGATTTTGTAGCTTTAGACAATGAACTCATCCACTTAGTGTTAGGATCTTATCAAATATGATCCTGTGTCATCTACTCCTCCTATTTGCAAGACACGCCATACAAAACACCATTAGCATAGCAGAAAGAACCACCCTGAATAAAATGACCCGACTAAGATACCCAGATAACTCTCTTCACAACCCGTCAAACGGACTCCTATACGAGCACACGAAAATAAAATCAGTCACCGGCAGACTTAATCGCGATACAATATCCCACAAACACTCTCCTTTAAGAGCTGAAAAAGAGTTAAACAGCATTCTGAGGACTCGGACACCTAAAGAGAGCTCGCGCACGTCAGTGACTAATTGAAAGCCCTCTGGACAACTTATCTATCACGCCATTTCCAATCAGGTCTCACCATCATTTATCATTACACAAAAATGTAGGACAAACAATGTAAATAAGATCTTGTTTGTATTTTATATACTGATTTATATGTATATATACATATATACTTAGGGTTAAACCGCACCCTCAAATTTAATGTCCAAAAACGATTTGTAACTCCCCGGCTGCAGGTCCCCAGGCCTTGCAACTAATCACATTCAAAGTAATTAAAATGAATCAGACTCTCTGTGAAATTTCAGCTCTAATTCGATTATTGCCCGAGAACCATAACAGATTTGCGCTTTTGATATTTCAATCTGCTTTTACATTTAGAAATATGCTTTGTATAAAACAATGTTCAATTTTTTTTTGTAGCGAAGTCACTTTTTTCCCGGTACACGGCATGGCCACCATAAGGTATTTATATTTAAAGAATTGGCCACATGTTCTCACGGTTTCCTACGTTTAGATGCAGCACATCACGCATTCACGTCACCGTACGAGGGACCACATCATGTCATATCGCGACACCAAAAGCATTTTGTCATCTGGATGAATGGTCAAGCAACTGTCGTATCCATTGACCGTCTAAAACCAGTATTTTCAATTGCTGAAGACGAAACAACTAATACCGACGCGTCTAGTACCGATAGCGGTTCTGACGACACCTTATTGCCGTCTTCACAGCAACCGACACCTGGTACGACACCCGCAACATCACCGCAACCAGGAACATCTAGACGCACGTCATCATCTTGGGCTCCATCGAGTGACGCAAGATCATCGTTGGACTCAACCCCATCACCATCGAGAAAATGCGTCAGATTCAGTCAATAATTAAATTCATTTTCTTTAGAGTCACGTATGCCGTTTTCAGTGCCGTTTAACGTACATAGTCTTGTAAATATTGTATATAGTTAACCTTTTCTTTTTCGCCGCAGAAACGGAGTATTGTAGCGAAGCTACTTGTATATTTATTTCAAACCATTTCAATGTGTTGTTTTCGAGCTCGGCTTAGCAACCGAATTTCGTACCGTGACACGTGTCGCCGATATATGGCTGTCCTTGTCGCAAGACATCCTCGCGACGATTCGTAATAATTCGGACATCCTCGATCGAAAGATCTAATATCGTTGTCGCGGGAGCACACTCTCGTTCCTGCTCTCATGGTGTATGCCAAAGTTACTTTCACTGTGAATAAATTCAATTTGATATATACGTTTATTCCGAGTGTTTTACGTTACAAAACCCTTCTATCCTTCACCGAATCCCACCTTTTTTCTCAATAAAATTCTCAACTTGAAAAAAAAACGATTTTTTATTTTCTTCTGTTTCAAAACGGGGTTTATAGAATAGAATCAATCATTTTATAACGTTCCTCAAACTTTTTGCATTGTTTAACTTCCAGACCTGTAGGGACGAAGTTATTGTAATGAGCCCAAAAATCAAATATGAGTATTTCATCATCTCTCCGCGGTTTTATGACCCCTGGAACATTAACTGAATTAATCATTTTTCGTTGTATAATGAGAAATAATAATTTTTTACGAAAAAAAACGAAGCCAGTGGCTTTTAACGGTTTAGGATATGGTGAATAAATCATATTTACTTTCCACCATTTGCTAATATTTAATTGAATATTCACTCATTTGGAGAATAATTACATGAATAATACCGATTTTCAGTCGTTTTCATTACTTGTCTCACTGAAAGAATTAATAACCGCCGACCTACGGCGGAAGACAAACTCCAATTGATATCAAAATTCTTGTAGGGGAGGGGGGGCAAAACGGACCAACGAGGCAAAACGGACCAACGGGGCAAAACGGGCCGGGGGGCAAGTTTGAGGGGAATCAGAAAGAAATCCAATGATGCAGACAATGTTCCATGCATTTATTGTGAAAAACGTTTTTATGACAGTGGTGGGGAGTGGATTCACTGCCAGAGTTGCAACGGTTGGGCTCATTGTACCTGTGCTAACATTGATGAAAATGCAGGACCCACGTACTTTTTTTGTGACGAGTGCAAAGAATCAGACTAAAACTTTATTATTTATTACTAACCTCATATTTTATATTTGTTATTATTCATTATTGTTATTCATCATCATTGTTATTATTTATTTTTGTTATTAATCATCACTGTTATTATTTATTATTTTTATTAATCATCACTGTTATTATTAACTTCCCGGGATATGGAAGTTATTTATTATTGTTATTAATCATCATTGTTCTTATTCATCATCATTCCATCCAATTTCACCAAGACTTTTGATTAGAACGTGGACATTTTCGTATTCATTAGAATGAAGTTATCTTACCATGATGTTGTTCTCAATTTTCATTAATGGCAGTATACTTTTCACGATCACCTCTAATAATAAATTATAAAAGTCAATTACGAAGTGAAAAAGGTGTCATTAATGAAAGAAAAAACTTTCCTGCGGGGTTTAATTGGTTCAAAAATAGTATCTGGCGTCTAACTCCATCACCCACCGCCCACCACCTCCTCCTCCATCATTCTCACCCCTCCTATTCAGTGATGAATTTTGGAAAATTTTATTCGTGAGAAAAAAAACTTTTTTTAGGGGTCCATTTTGCCCCCTTGGTCCGTTTTGCCCCCCACCCCCTAATTTTATTGACAATTTTCGGGGAAAATTGCAAATTTTTTAAATATTGGGTTTTTAAATAATTGACGATTGAAAAAAAAAACATTTTCTCGTATAAACCCCGTCGAATTGAAGATCATGCTATGTATAACATCTCAGTTTTTCATGTACTTTGAATGTGCCAAAGGGCGATTTGATAGCTTGAAACCCCGCTGAGACATTGGGGTCAACTTGAAAAGAATGAAAATCATAAAAAAACTCGAAATTTAAAAAACAAATCATAGCTTCCTGAATTATCAATATTTTTCGACTTCTTTTTCAAAATTCTTGTCCAATAGCCACCTTTCAGGGAAGAATTTAGACGAAAATCTCCCACATCGCCTTTTTGACCTGCAGATTTAGCGTGCATCTGCCCTAATATGAAACGTAAACTACTAAATAACAATTCTTGTGAGCGACAAAGAGAAAAGTTTACATATTTCAATGACCGCTCATAAAATGTCAGGGTTACAATGGGTTTATTCCGCAACTATTAATAATTCAATCGGTAAGTTTGAATTTTTCACGGTTATTGCCACTGCGAATGAATAATTGAATTTCTAAAATCGTATCATGAGTCGCGCATTAACGAAGGAAAAATGGTTTCAAATAGGAAGTACGTAGTAAGCCAACTAATTATTCATCTATGATATTGGAGTCGATTGTAGTGAGTATAAAAAGTGAGTACATAATTCGGTATCCGTCGGATTTTATCATACACGATGAGCTTATTGATATTCACATCAGTCACAGTAGGTCAATGAATGAGTCTTCCAGATTTTAAACTTCAGTCTCTATTCTACTTTCGTAGCTTGAGTATCTTCTGCACAGTGTTACTGATTATCTGTCAACTCGTCTCAAATATGAAATAAAATTTGGGAGCGAAAATGATGGGAATCAAATTTGCCAGTTTGCTGGTGCTTATCACTGCTGCAATATCGCAGTCATCCTCACTGTATACTCCCACAAAATATGAGGATCGATTGATAGCGAAAGTCGTTGGCTACCGGTTACCGAACAATACAGCTCCAAGGTTATACACGCTAAATCTGGAACCTCATATTGACGACGAAAAATTCACTTTCGATGGTACCAGCAGCACTGTCTTTGAAGTGCTTGATCCAACATGTAGTGTAACTTTACATGCTTCGACATTCATTGAAATCGATAAGACGTACACTACCCTCATCCACAGTGATGGTACACTCGAGAAACCGATCTTTCAAAGATACAACGAAAATCTTCAATTCCTCAACCTGCGATTCAGTCATATATTGGAGCTTGGTAATTACACAGTGAAAATGAAATGGAAGGTACACAATACTCCATATTTGCGAGGATTCTACCGAGCAGAGGACAATAATGTGGATGGGAAAACTGAGTAACTACTTCAGGATTCAAATAATACCGTGAAGTATCACAGTAACACCCAATGAGAAAAAATTTATTGCCATTGAACTTTCATAGTAACTGTTCAGGAATTTTTTCAAAGATTTTATTCCTTGTCGGCTAATACCCAGTGCAAATTCCACCCTTCCTGCATCATTTCATGACAGATATTTGTTAGCAGAAAAGTCAATCGTTTTTCTAATTCCTCATCGTTCATTCTTCATAGTTCCATACTTTCCATAGAAATTCTGAAGCATAATTTTTTTCAAGTTCTTTCCGCCATATTTCCTTTTCTCATTGCAAAATAAAAATAAATTACAAGTTTATTCACAGAAAATCTAATATAAAAATCCGTAACTTGATTGCTTGCATGGAAAAATTATTATCAATTTCTTCTCTATTCAATATTTATTAAAAATCGTATGAAAAAATTTCATAGGATTCTTACATAGAGCCCATAGAATTGTCTAAAAAATTTCTTGGATTTTTTATTGAATACTTTCATGCATGACGGTATGTTGTCGATGAATATCTTTACATCAATAATGAATGGCAACAATCATGAAGTGAGATCGACTCGTCATGTAATATCACTCCACTTTTCACTCAATGACAAATGATCAATTTCAGATATATGGTAGCAACTCATTTCGAACCCCTAGAGGCCCGAACTGCATTTCCCTGCTGGGATGAGCCTGCATTCAAAGCTGAATTTGAAATATCATTGAAGCATTACAAGAATTACACAGCACTATCTAATATGCCTATAAAAGGACAAACGTCAACTGACGATGGAAAGATATGGACGAGCTTTCAGAGATCTCCAGTCATGTCTACCTACCTGGCAACATTTGTAGTGGTCCCTTACACTAGTCGTACCAATAATCATGCAAATATAACATTTTGGGTTCCGTCAGATAAACTGTCATCTGTTGCAATTGGTTTCGAATTTAGTCCTAAGCTTGTCAGTGCGTTGGAACATTATACAGGAATGCCTTATTCTTTACCTAAATTGGACGCTGTTTACGTTCCTCAGTACTCCTCTGCAGCTACTGAACACTGGGGTCTCATCGCCTACTCGTAAGTCTTATCCAATTACTTTTCGTAACCAAGTAACGTTCTCTGGAGTAATGACCGCCACTAATGCCTGCATCATCTTCATACAGTAGTCGTATCTTAGTCGATCCTGATGTTGCCACTTATCGGGAACGGAATGCTGCCATATTATTAGCAGCCCATGAAATTACTCACCAGTGGCTAGGAAATTTAGTTACCCCTGCATGGTGGAGTGATCTTTGGTTGAGTGAAGCTTTCGCTGTATACTTGGGAACCAAAATAGTGGATAATGTAATTAGTGATATTATTTTTCTGTATGCTCCATAACCCCTTACAAACAGGGTTAATATTATGCCATGTCGACTGATGCCTGCGCATCAACTGGAGGCTATTCGAACTACTTTATTAGTACGCACGGAGAAAAGAATCCGAGAAAAATTCATGTGCCGAGCACCAGAAACGAGGCACTACAATGGAAAAATACTGAATCCGTGTGAGAATAATGCATCCACCTCCATGCATTTTTAGAAGAAAGCACCAAAAAAATTCTATAACAGGACAGAATAAATTCGCTGGCAACACATGAAGATTTAATATTCGTCCCTGTAATTTTTGTGGGGAATCATTGAATGAGCTCGTCGATATGTGGGCACTTCCGCAATTCGTGTATTTTTTGCGTTTCTGACGAAGGTCTGCAGCGTTTACGTTCCAAAAATGTCAGAACTATTCACCTACTTAGTGATAATTATTGTGCTGACTCGTAGGCAAGAGTATGCACTATAGAAATTTCTAGAAATTTCCAGAGATGTCCCAACTTTTTGGAATTTCCTGCACGTGCTCTGTTGCATTTTTAAAGAATTTTCAGAGAGAAAGAGAGGATTGCTGGAATTTTTAGCACTTCTCTATTGCTGGAACTTGTTCCCCCGTGCATGGAGAAAAAAATTCCAGAATAATTACCGTGTTAGCAGAGTACAATAGGTTTATTTGAACGGAGCTAGAACAATTTTCATGCCAGCACCGGAATTTCTACCGTGCGCTATAGAATTTTTCTCGAATTGACCATGAAGAACTCTTGTACTCCGCAGAAAATTTTCTGGTGCTGGCACGGTGATTTTTCTGGGTCCGTCCAAATGAACCCATTTTACCGTGCTGGCGCAGTAATTTTTCTGGAATTTTTTTCTCCGTGTGCCCCCTCCCTCTCACCAATAATACCAAAAAATTGGGAAAAAACATTTTTTCGCCCCGGCAGGCGCAAACTATACATTGCCCTCCCACGATTCCGGATGAGTTGAAATCTGACTTTGTGCCTACGCCGAGGCGAAATATACGGTTCTAACCAGGAGATTGAATGAATTATTCTTACCCTCGGGCTGACCACCTGAGCCGAAGATGAGCACGTGGGCATGACTCCTTTATTTTATCTCCGTCGGTTATAAATATAATGCTTCGTAATTTTAGCACGGTGAACTCGATTTTCTTCCTCAAATGACGGGAAAAAAGTGGATTATTTCATTCTTCCGTTTTGTTGTTTTGAATGCCCTTTAGAATGACATAACCCACGTACGTCCCTGCATTTACGAAGAAAAATCGAAGTTTACCATCAAAACCCGTATGTTTACACACCCGGATGGGAATGTTCTGGTTACATCCCTTGATGCAAAATCAACTAGTTTTGTTCCATAAAATTACGTCATCGATAAATCGTACCACTCAGGGTAACTTTCGAATCTCTTTTATTTAAAAAAATTAATGTAAAATTACGATAACACTATTTTCTCCGTTAGCGAAATGAATTATTATGTGCTGCCTTAGAAATTGTCAGGTTCTTGTTCATAAATTTCCATGTACTACACCAGAATTTTAATGTGCTCCTGTACAATTTTGCATACTCTACACGATATTTATCATGACTTCTGAGACTCATAATATCCTGCCTCAATTATGAGACAGCACCAGAATTTTTCTTCGAATTTTATTACAAAAATTTCGATTTTTTTTTCGGTGTGAATGAACGACCCTTTCCAAAACTGAATAATTTGTGACCTATGAAATATAAAGTAATCATGTGAGTGCCATGTGATCGCTGCATTGCTCCAGATATCTGTAGCTCCAGATATACTATTGAAAAGAAAATATTGTGATTCGACGCGCAATGAAAATCTTATGCTTCAAATAAAAATCCCCCCGACTTGACATGAATAGGATCGAATTGGTTCGAGAATCTATTCTTTTCCAGTCGTTTTCATTCAAGTGAATCGATATTGACGGGGATAAATGGATTCAATTTCAGATAATCCCTAATTTTCACGCTATGGATCTCTTTACTGTTGAAACAGTTAATGATGTATCATTCAAGGCAGAACGATTGTACTTCAAACCACATCCCATTAGATGGGTACCCGATTCCCCGCAGGAAGTTGGCGAGGTTTTCTCTCCAGTGACTTATCGGAAAGGTAAATTTTGTGATAGCTGTTAGGTTTGAATGCTCCTACTAGATCATTGAACGGATAATCATGGATATCGAACGTTAACCAATTTGGGATCTTTCATGTTCAGGGGCCGCTGTAGTGCGGATGTTGGAGCACATAATAACAGAAGAAGCATTATGTCTTGGCATCCAAAAATACGTAGATAAACAGTAATGAAAAAACATAATTAATCATGAATGAAAGTAATGCAAAGCCTATAGAAAATATAAATTTTCAGCCAATTTGGGTCCGTAGAAACAAACGATCTATGGCGAAATCTTCAAGAAGGCTACAACGAGATGAAAGTATCACCTCATTTAAATATAAAAGAAATAATGAATCCCTGGCTGGAACAAAGAGGATATCCACTGCTGAAGGTCACGCGGAATTACAAGACAGGAATTATTAGTATTACACAAAGTGATGGCGAAAATTCCGAATCAGGGAATCTTTGGACGATTCCGATAAACTATGCAACAACTTCACGACCAGATTTTTCATCCACCCGACCAATGTACTTTATGAGACGTGCGAATCATAGTCTCGTACTTGATCGAATCGATAGAAATGATGGGATAATTCTGAATATTCAACAGACTGGTATGATGGTTTATTATTAAAATTATATCTCTGTTTACTGACAACGACAGGTAGTATTTGTTACAAAGATCTAATCCGCGTCCTTCGGGTCAATTTAGATAATTGAATAGTTGGTGTTATTTTTTCAAGTTATTTGTTTCTCTAGGGAGAAGTGATTTTGTCTTATAAGTAGATATTCAACACTTGGAAATAAATTAGACAAGCCGTTTTCTAGTGATGGATACTCATTCGATCCTGTTATGACAGGATCGAAAACGAATGATACTGAATTATATCAGATCATTTTCAGAAAACGATGAGTAAGAAAGTGTTGCTTTCAATACTCGCTCTTTTGGAAAATATATTGAAAATTGGGTGCTTTTTGACAATAGTATTCTCGTGTTTATGCTCTTCAATATCGGACACCAACTGAATATGAAAATCAAACACTGTGAAACAACGGTGGAAGATCTAGACATGAAGCATGGCCAATAACTGGCGAAAAAACCTGCTTCTAACCGCGTTTCCCCCTTTAAAGTATCGCCTTTTCACACCTGTATTTATAGTGAATATTCTCGCAATGACTGGCTCTCTAGATACATAAATATTGAAAATTTCAATTACGCGTATATGGAAACATTGAGTGTCAAAATCTCATTTTTTCCAGAAAATTCCATTGAATATCTTTTTGAACTTTATAAAAATTCTATTATTATTCATCCAAAAATTCTATTCATTCGTTGCCGATTTCGATTATGAATTTTACAGCTTATCCTGTTTTCTAAGACATTCATAGTGAAAAGAATAAAATAGATTTTCATTTTTTAAATTAATCATTGTTAATTTTGATTCATTTCATTTTTTTAATTTAAATTTTTTTCCCCACAAAAAGCCTCATTCATACATTTTCCAAGTTTTTTTCGCTGTATTTTGTTTGTTTCTAATTTCTAAATCCGAGAAAGAAAATTTTAAAAATCCGTAATAATAAAAATCGGCAGAAAGTAAATCGAAGTGCATAGAAAACTGCATTTATCTCACTTTATCTTAATTTTTGATTCGTTGGAATCGATGATATTACCGCTATGGCTGGAGTGCATTCAGCAGAGAGTCAAATAGAAATTTGAATAATGTTTCAATTCAATTCTTCAATATTCAATAGTGTTTCAATGAAATATGAAAACGAGTTCCAGTAGAATCGCTATAGAATTGCATTACCGATAATCTATATTTTCAGGATTCTATCGCGTCGATTACGACTGGGAGAATTGGAAACGTATCATTGCATACTTGAACTCGGAGAATTATCACAAAATCCACGTGTTGAATCGTGCACAATTGCTCAATGACGTCGTATATTTTTCTGAAAGAGACGAACGCTATTATGAGTTACTGGTCGATATGGCTATGTACTTACGCAGAGAAACGAATTTGTTACCTTGGATGGCTATTAAGAAAGTCGTAGACCAATTTACAAAAACTTCGATGCACCGCGCCAACTTCGACTATAGAAATTTTTCCTTATATATTATGAAAAATGTAGTAGATCTTATTGGATTCGAAGATCGTCCATTTGAGGATGATAATCTGGTGTATTTGGCTAGGAGTCGACTGTTGTCGTTGGCCTGTAATTTAGGTCATGAGGGATGCCGAGCCATATCTCCAACAAAATTGATGGACATTTCAAGTGGCAAAATTAGGAAATCGTAAGTTGTTCAGAAGAAACCATAACTTCTGAATTTCATACAACGTTGAAAACCAAAGCAGAATCAATGCACATCACCTGCTTGTCAAGGTCAACAACTCGACACCATAAACAATTATTTTAACGATACATTGCGATGAACACCAGAAGAGCAAAACTGTCTGAGTGCAACCAAAATAATGTTTAAAATGTGCATCAATCAGTTCCGTTATAGCTCAATAAGTTCCTGTCTCTTAATGAGAAGATATATGTGAAAGCCATCTGTTATTATTTAGTCGTTTTCTTTGCACTGAAAAAATAGATTTGTTAATTCGTTGAAGACCTGCTATACAAGAGGATTTTTTATCGCTGAACACTGGATTCACTTACGTAATTTATCGTGACGGATATAGCTACAACACTTTAAACCAACCTGGTTAATGAATCTTTTCATTGTAAGCATTTAATCTAAAGAACCGGCGATCTACATGTACGCTGTTCGAGAAATTTTTAAATTTGATAGACAGTCGCCTAGTAATTTTTAGGAAAGTGACATTGAATACGATTTAAGAGGGAAAAAATTATGGAATTTCAGATTTCATTCGAAATTCAATAAAATTCCAAATTCTTGTACAACATTGAGATGAGAAGTCCTCCACCTGTTCGAATTTTCAATGAAATCATGAATATTCCGTGCTGAATTACAATGGATTTTCAATTAATTGAAAACTCAAGAATATATTTATCAGAATTTTTCAGATTTCTATTAATTTTCAGGGAATAATTGTCGAAAATTTAGTTCTTATTGATTCGCCCGTGTCGAGCATTTGGTTCTGATTGGACGTACACAGGTCTTTCAAGATCTTTCCAGACCTAGGTTGACCTGGTAAGTCTTAATCAGTTCTGCGACGTACTTTTCCTGAGACCTGTCGAATCCTCAGTTCTTGTTGGCCCTGAGAAATCCTTCTCTATACTACCGAGAGCACGGGATTTCACGAGTGGGTGGATTGGAAGGCATGTATGCGGAGGGTTGAAATTTGTAGCCAACGGGAAGAGAGGGTTGCAAAATATATTTTAGCCACCCTCATCTCTCCGTTTGCAAGCGGTGTTTAAATAAAAAATTGTGAACGTAGATTCCGTTTCTATTGACTCCCTGATGCCAATGAAACCCTCGGAGGGTCAAGGGTCAAGGTAAAAGTCGATTTTCGCCAAAATTGAATTTTTTCGTCAGGTGAAGGTTGATTCTGTATTTTCTAACAATTCTGATGCCAATGAAACCCACGAAGTCGCGACAAATGTCGAAATGAAAAATTTTTTTTTTCACCCGGAGCCAAATTGTCGGATCAGATTGTCAAAGGATCAGATTGTCGGTTTTTTTCAGGGGGAAAGTCGTCTGTCACCAAAATCTATTTTTTTGCCAAGTGAAGGTTGATTCTGTAGAAAAAAAAAGTCAATCAAATAATCAAGTAAGGGAGTTTGACCCTCTTGACCGTCGTAATCTATTGTTCCTTGTTGTACCTTGTGACCCGTATGGCCCTTACAACCTTAAAGGTTCCTGGGGGCCACAGGAGCACAAAGATCACCTCCGTTACCCCTCCTTGTAACATGAAATAAACTTAATCAAATAATCAAGTAAGGGAGTTTGACCCTCTTGACCCTCGTAATCTATTGTTCCTTGTTGTACCTTGTTGTTCCTTGTTGGCCCCTCTAATGCCAATAAAACCCTCGGAGGTACCAGAAATGTCGAAATATAACTTTTTTTTTTTCCCCGATGCCAAAGTATCAGATCTTCGATTTTTCCTGCTTACACCTAAGTCCTGCTTACACCTAACGAGTGCTGAAATGGGACATAACCAGAGGTAGAAAGGTCTCGGAAGCACTTGGGAAGAGGCTTCCCAAGACCTATCCAGTTCTGACCGGAAAGACCTAAGTAAAACTTGTCAGGTCCAATTATTCGACTCGGGATATTTTTCATGGAATGCTGAGTTTTCAGTGTGGAAATTCTCTGCAATTTCAGCGGAACTAAAATGTGATAAAAATGTCCAAAAAGGGTACCGGAAATTTCAGCGACAAATTTTTAATACCGCAGTAGTAATCTATAACTAATATAGTTTCTAAGTAGCTATGAAAATCCAATTCATAATTATCCCCGTTTCTGAGGAACATCTCCAAATCCAAATGAGATAGTGGAGTTGTGTGGGGATTTGTTCAGTTTTTGTAATTTAAGAATCAATGGGAAGCATTCCTCGCAACCATGGATGATAGCTATATGTCACTGATATAACTTACGCAGCATCAGATATACACCTAATATGAATATGAAGAAATGAATGACGAGTGCGAAAAAGTTTGGGGCACGTCGTAAAATGCATATGAAATGCAAGAAATTGAAAAATCATTGGTATTTTTCTTTCAAAGTTGAGAATTTTGTTGAAAAAACGTATATTCAATATTTTTTATTACAAAAAAATTGAAAAATTAAAAGTGCAAGTCACAAAATGGTATGGTTCTCGGGCAATAATCGAGTTGGAGGGCTGAATTTTACACAAGCTCATGTTCAATGAGCTACGAATGCATGAAAAAAATTTTTAAAAAAACCGTGGGGGCAAATAAGTAAACAGTTTTCTGTGAAATTGCTCTTATATCAAATCGCATCTATCATTAGTGAAAAACGATGATCTATAATAGGGAGTATTTTTTCAGTCGAGTTTTAGTTTCGAGATTGATTAATCATCAATAATATCAGAAACAATCGCATTAATTATACCAACGGAGTACATAATTCGGTATCGGATGGTTCACCATACGCGATGAGCTCATCCTTATTCATATCAGTCTCAGAAGGTCAATGAATAATTTTTCCGGATTTTGAACTTCAGTCTTCATTCAACTTTCGTAACAAAAGTATCGTCTGCCAAGTTTTTCTCATTGTTCGTTAAATCGGTTCGTGTATGACATAAAATTTGAACAGGAAAATGGGGAATGAATTTGTTAGTTGTCTGCTGCTGATCATCTTCGCAATATCACCATCAACATCATTATACAACCCCATGGAATATGAGGACCAATTGATGAGAAAAGGGACTGGATACCGGTTGCCGAATATTACCGCTCCAAGGTTATACACCCTGAATTTAGAACCTCACATTGATGACGATGAATTCAGTTTTGATGGTAGCAGTAGCACTGTTTTTGAAGTCTTCGATCCAACATGGATTGTAACATTACATGCATCGACATTAATTAAAATCGATAGGACGTATACAGCACTCATCTACGGTGATGGCACAATTGAGAAACCAATTGCTCAGAGATATAACGAAGATCTACAATTCTTCAACCTTCGATTCAGTCGTCTCTTGGAAATGGGTAATTACACTGTTAACCTAAAATGGAAGGGATATAATGCTCCAGATCTGCGAGGATTCTATCGAGCTGTCGATAAGAATATGTATGGGGAATCTCAGTAAGTACACTCTAAAAAAAAGATTACTTCTGATAAGTAGGAAAACTACTTGTATTCAGTACCGAGGGGTTTCTGGAGAAGAGGTAATTTTTTTACTTGGTTCAAGTCAAAAATCGACAGAATACAAGTTTTATGCTCCAAGTACAATTGGTACTGGTGACAAGTACCAACTGTACTCATCATCAGTACTAACAGTACGCGTACTGAGTACCGAGCTGTACTTCTCAAAAGTAGAAAAAATACTTGAGACAAGTAGTAATAGTACTCAAATCCAGTACTAATGGATTTTCGCGGAATATTACAGTAAGATTGATCATACACTGGAAATCGTTGAAAAACGAAGAATTAATGCAAATAAAATTATTGTTTATTGTTCGTTTGCCCCTCAAACGCTTGAAAATTGAAATATAGTCCAGTGTAATAAATTCTCGAGCTACAGAGATTTTTTTTTCAAAATTTTTCAAAAGATGTGTAGAATAACAATTACCAATTAATTTTTCCAAATTTAATTTCCAACTAGTCCTTTTTTTTAATAACAAAAAATGTAATATTCACGCGAAATAGCCAGCAAAATGATCTTCAAAATAATTGCTATATTTTATATTGAACAAAAAAATTAAAATATTAATCGTTTGAACTATCTTGTGTGAAAATTGCAATTTCGTTATCCGACAAAGAATGAAATTGCCTATTTAGAAGTCGAATTCAAAAAAATTATCTCGTAATTGTTATTCTACACATCTGTTGAAAAATTTTGAAGAAAAAATACGTCCGTATTTTTTGAATTTTCATCGTCTCGGGAGCAAACAAACGATAAAATTTTTTTTCCACTAATTTTTCGTTTTTCAACATATATGATCGATTATCAATATATAATGAATCTCACTCCAATAAGCCGTGACTTCCAAAACTCATAGAAACCTTTCCTTGAGAATAAAATGAATAATAATAACAGATCATTGAAAAACGAAGGAAATTACAATTGAAGATTTTTAACACTGTGACGTTTATCGAAGAGGATAATTCTAGGAAGAATAATAAGAGGAAGTTCTAAGAACGAAAAAAAATAGTCCGAAAATAGTTGATGTAATCATTTATTTTCAAAATTAACAATAGTTGTTTTGACAATTTATATTATATGACGAAGAGCAATATAATTCTTTGCATCAGTCACTAAACGTACAATTGTGGGTACATGTGTGATTAAATTATTATAATTTATACATTGCCATGTTTGCGTTAACTTTACTTCATTGACAACGGGATAAAATCGTTTTACAAAAAAATTTTTCAACAAGAAATGTACACTGAGTTTCTGCCAAAAGGAGAATGGAAACTATCTCACCAAAAACGGGAAATTCATCCTCGAGACCGATCACAACTACGGATCTGCGCGAGTATCGAATGCTTGAAATTTCAACCGACGATATGACGGGGCATTCTTTAAGTTCTGAGGATAAAAGATGTTTGAACTCAGCGTAGCATTTAAGGATAATCGGGCGAGCCCGAAGGGTTAGGAAAAAAGCAGCCATTTTTCTCTTTTATTTTTTATGTATTCTTTAAATGATGGAAAAGGCGTGTGCAAAGTTTCAGACTGCTGGGGAACATGGTTAATTTATTATGAATTTTTGAAAAAGTGGTCCTTTAACCCGTGATCTTATGGAAATCACAAAAAAAACTGCAAAACCCAAGGAAAAAAAGCAGCCAAAGTCATGAAACTTTAGACACATTTAGAACATGTGATCAATGATTTTTTGAGTGAAAAAAATTGTCGCCTAGGAGCATTGTTTATTAATAATAGCGAAAAAAGTACTGAAAAATGAAATTTCTGCGCACGCAGCCTAAATGAGCAGCAACGTCTCAAGTACCGATCGGGTGGGGGTAGCGCGGTCAATTTAAACGTCTCTTGAGAGAGAGCGATGAAGCGTTGTGATTGGAGCTCCCTCAAACCAGTGGTACCAGCTCCTGGTGAAAAAAAAAACACTACTGACGATATTGCCACTTTTTCGCATGGATTAGTATTTTTTCATTTATTAAAAAAAAATCTGAAAACCATTCAATGCATGGAACAGATACAAATAAATTTGATTAGCTCCAAAAATAATTTTTAACTGGAGATACTCCCTAATATTGCCTGAATTTTGAATCCGAATGGGAAAAATTTTTTTGTTCAGCGATTGGTTTTCTGCTGGAAATTTTTTCAAGTAGAAAATTAAATATTAGCTTATGAAATCAACAACATTTTCTTCCATCGTGAATGAGGTACAGAATAAATAATGGGTAATCTGTAAAAAATACTTACTGTGGAATAAATCGATTAATTCTTCGAGATCTGACTTCTTGAGGAAGTCGTCCACAACAATGTATGACTTTTCTCCCGGCGAAGTCATTCAAGAGGATTTTTTTGTCAGAACAAAGAAACACTCTTAACGTACACTACACTTGATTATGACTAGACTGAAACGTATTGGAACACGTTTGTTTACCAATAAATATGAATACCGCGGAGTGAGGGGACGATAGTGGACGATCGACCAGGGATACTTGTGGCGATTCGGAGAGAACGAAGCAGCGAAATTTCAGTCGGTATTGCAGAGACTCCGGGGGATGATAAGCACTTTTTTTTCGTTTCTTCGACGATGATCTATGTTGAAGTTGTGAATTGTATTGAGTATATGGAATTGCATTTAACGCAAGACGCAGCGGCGACGTTAAAGGGAAAATGAAAAAATCCAGGAACTGATGGAAAAATTTATTCAAATATAAATTTTAGGTTCAA